TGTATAAATTGATGGCAACATTAATACATTTAAATGTTAAACCCTAAACCTAACCAACAGTGTTAACAAAAGCAAACATGAGATAAAAACCATGCCATTTTCAGCCATTTTTCTTTATAAATAAGACTCATATCTGAGAGTTCCACATCACAAGTGCAATGCTGTACCACCAGCTGCACTACCGAGCAAGTTTACATCAGAAAAGCCATACATATGGAGCTGGTTATGTAATGCAAACATCAAACTGTATTAGTTTACAAGTCATACACTATGGTAAAAGTGTTTTTACCATAGTATTGTGGAAGGAACCATCTGAAAATAATCTTTATTAATCAATAATCTGCCCCTGTAATCATAACTTGCATGAAAAGGAATAAACGTTGTTGGTGTTTTACTGCCTCTAATGTTCATTTCAGCTGGAAACTGCAGTGAAGTTTATGTATAGGTACATTTTTGGTGTAGGTAGAAGAATGTTTTTCCAATGAGCCGATCTTGGGTTTTTGCCTGTCAGTTGATAAAAGGACCTCATATTTTAAGGAACCTAAGATACATCTGGGAACTAAGTCCTTTTTCAACTGCCATGGTGCTGTTGCCACATCTGGAAAGATGTTAGCTGAAAAAAAATTCAGTACCGTCTCCAAAAAACAACAACACACACACACCTGAACAGGCTAATCAAGGTCTTAAAGGAAAGCTACAAGCATGTGAGTTTGATCAGGGTTGGAGCTGAACCCTGTAGAAAAGTTGATCTCAAGGGTCTTGAAAACACACAATCAATTTAAACAATGTAACGATGACTTGTAAACAATGATATGGCATGTTTATTTGTGCGCACTTACATCACCATTTGGTCAGTGGAAACATGGGCAGATCAGAGAATCGCAGAGCCCTCCCCGAGCATTTTGGAAGAAAAGGGGGAAAAACAAACTTCGGGGATGCGATTATTTGACTTGGGTCAGCAAGCAACCACCTAGAAACCACATAGCAACATGATAAACTACTAGGCAACACACTGGCAGGCATCTAATAACGTAGTGGCACATTTTGCATTGAAGAGCACCACATAAAGCACTTATAATATATGTCAGTGAAAAAACAAAAACATAGTACGGCATTCCAGCAAAAAATTATTTTTGCAGAATGATTCAAATCAAACGTCCATCAGAGAATCACTTGTCTGGTTCATGTCTATTCTGAAAAGGAGATTCTGTGTCCCAGCGTGTTTTCCCACACATCTGAATGGCTTTTCCCCATCTGGTTTCCACAAATATGGTGTGAAACAGTCTAAACTATCATTACATCTGACTCGCACATTAGCTGAACACTTGACCCAGGACACATCAACCTGTGAATACTATGTTCATGTTACCATTTCATGGCAATACCACTAACAGAGCTGAACTGAGACACATCCAACACATTAATCGACAAGCCCTTCAAAAATAACTTCTGCAAGTGAAAAAGAAACATATCAGACTACATTTTTGTTATGTTTGCCCGTGGAAAACTCATCTACACAAGCCTAGGGTGTCGTGGGTGGTTTGCATTTACATTGTTTTTTTTACTTGTAAACAGTGTTTGATCTGTGCATATTTCTCTCATGATTCAGACAAGATGACTTTTTCACTGGAGAAAACAGAATTATGGGTACAGAGCTCTCCTTTGGACTCTCATTCTGACGGCACCCATTCACGTAATGCTTAAAAAATTTCCCCAAATCTGTTTTGATGAAGAAACAAACTCATTTATATCTTGTATGGCCTGAGGGTGAGTACATATTCAGCAAATTTTAGGTGAACTATTCTTTTAAAGGCTTATGTGCACAATAATTGCATGAAAATACCTTCAAAAATCAATACAATCCATGCAGTTCAATTTGGTCAATTTCAGGCTATTCATTTTGTTTCATAATCTTTTGTGAGCAAATCTGAAATGCTGGACAGGAATGATGCAGATGATTTTGATTTTGTGCTCATGAATAATTCATGAACACCCTGAAATTTTCAAGTGGGGGAAAAAAACATAACATGAATAAAACACATCTGATCAATTATTCAGCGCCACAGCCGTCAGCATTTCACATTCACAAGAACAGTCCTGTTCAACAACTTCAGCATCCGTCCTTGTAGAGCGAGAGCAGAGGGAAGGCCTATGGCTACGACAGGAAATGAGAACAGAATGAACATCCGCCTCCAATGGAAATATGCCATGTGCGTTAAAATCAGAAGTTTACTACATCTCAACTCCATGATCGAAGTGAATTTGGTTCATATGAATATATTAATGTCACAATTTATAGTTTTAAACAAGTACGTGTGGATTTCAATCATAGTTCAAATTCTGAAAGCAAAGCTAGGAGTAACTTGCAAGTATAACTATATCAACATGACATCTCTGCATTAAACAGTCCTAGATTAAACATCATAAAAACACCATAAAAATATGGTAAAACCAAAAAACCTTTCCACTACTGCTTTTGCACCCAAAATCAAAACACATGTGGGTAATTCTAAGAACTGTCTCTACGCCACTTCAAGCAAAAACCGTAACATATACTGATGCATCAAGCTGCTACTGCATGTATACATATAGTATGTACTGTAAAGGTAACAATTTATGAACATTGGTGTCTTTATAAAACTTAAAGGGGTCATATGATGCGGTTTCGTTTAACAACTGCAGTTTTCAGGGTACAATGATTTCACCAAAGTTAAGGTAATTTTAGGCATTCAGCTTCACATTGTACCTAACCCATGGTAAAATCATTGTAACCTGGGGTCTTATGTGGTTTATTGCTTTTTAAAACTTAGATGAAAATGAACATTTACTATTTTTTGGTTTTCTCTATATGCTTTCAAGTAGGGCTGCACGATAAATCGCATGCGATATTTAATGCGCATCTTGTCAGAAAGCTTGTAAATATCGCATGCGATTTATCGTGCAGCCCTACTTTCAAGATGTACTTCAAAAAATGAACATAAATTTGACAATTATAGAAACATTTTGTTTTCAAATGGTGGCAGACTAATTAATGACTAATTATAGTAATACATTATTTTACTTCAAAATTTCATGTTTATTTCAATGTGTTACCTGCCATTTATTTTGATTTTTCTGTCAAATTTCTGAGTGAAAATTATTTCTACCCCAATTTTTTTTCAGTGTTTATCAGCCATCCTGCCATCTAGATATCAGCATCAAACCATTAAAAAAATATACCAGTCAACCACCATCCACGCCAGATTCAAAGGGTCAATAATACGATGTCTCATTGTTACGTGTGCTGGAGCACACAGCTGTGCTTCTGTGGGGTTATGTTGTTAACTGCGTGAGTGGCATGTGAGTATCTCTTCAAGTCATCCAGAACAGCCTGTCGGTAGGCGGGTTGACACTGAGGTCATGCTGCCAGAGACGAGGGGTCACGCGGGACACAGGCATTCCTGGGTGATGGAGTGGGGTCTGGGAAACGGCTGTTTAAAGAGAGGGAAGGCTGCTTTCCCCCCACTGGCACCAGGGACATTGTTTCTACTTATCCTTCAGAGCCCCCCGTCCCACCAAGCGCCGCAGCCACCGGGGACAAAAAAAACAGTAGGAAGCCAGGGCCCGAGGCACCCACAACAGAGACGGAGATCACTGTTTGTTTAACAGCGAAGTAAAGGGGATGCAAAAGTTTGACTTCTTAACACCTGCCACTCGGATGAAAGGGGCGTAAAAACAATCAAGGGGGAAAATTATAGCATAATGTTTATTGCAATCCTAGTTCAGATGCAAACAGATAAAGCAGCATGACACAGACATACTGACAAACACATTTGGGATATATCCTGATTGCGTGCGGTAGATATTCCGGAAGCAATAAGGGTTATGTCATACACATTGATAGCTTTTGCTTCCTACGAATGGTACATCTTAATGCATTAAAGCCAGAGCAGCTTTTTCATGTGCACTTCAATTGGAAATGATATGTTATGATAAGCATCAGCTTAGGGTTTAAAAACCATTGCATTAGAAAAAAAAAGGTTTTTAATCATCATTTGAAACAAGCTCAACATGAAACAAACTGATATCTGGTGCAAGATGAGCATTTCAGGATGTAACACAATTTTCAGTGCAAATATGTTTTGGTATTTGGTAACACTTAAAAGATCATTAAAGTAAATTAAAATAATTAAGAGATAATTCATATATACAGTGGCCCCCAAAAGTATTTTGGCACTGCATTTGATAACAAACGATCAAATCAAACAGCACTTATTTGAAAGAAAGAGCACATGCACACTGTTCACAAAAAGAATTATTCCACTATAAATCATCATGACACCAGTTGCTTAAGGTCAATGCAAACACATCAGAAAAGTGAAGTTTAGCATTATTTTTTGCAGTTTCTTTAATATTTCATTATCTAATGCAATGGCATTTACACATTTAAAAGTCTTAAAATACTTTGTCTTCATTATGGAAAATATATCTAATGTTTTAATCACGACCAATCTAAAAAGAACGTCTTTTGCCAAATGGTTTGGCCAAAAACATAAACACATCCTTAAAACATCTTCAATACATCTTTAATAGAACAGACGTCATAAAAATAATGTCTTTTGAGAAATGGTTTGGTTTAAAAACATAAACATAAAATATCAAATTAAAATTAAATTGAAATAATTATTAGAACGAATTTCTTTAATACGTCTCTAAAACATCTTTAATACATCTTTAATAGAATGGACGTCATAAAAAGAATGTCTTTTGTGAAATGTTTTGGATTAAAAACTAAATATCAAATTAAATTAATTTAAAAAAATCTTTATTTAAATTAATATGACTTGCTATTGATATTTTGTTATTTACTCCAATGGCATTCATAAATTCTCAATGTGCAAATACTTTTTGGGGACATCTACTGATCTGCTTAGCATAATATAATAATAAGGCCTATTTAGGATTTACTCATTTGAGTTATCATAAAGTTTTTTTGACAGCAGAAATCTATCTGTTCTTACCTGTCATATTCAGCATTGTCCTTGTCGCAACGAGCATCTTTATGCTTCTGCCAGTCTTTGCCATGTTTGCATGTGGTAAGGAGAACCACGTCTTCAGCATTATGGATGTGATGAAGCGCATTCCTTGTATCAGATCCAATCCCAGTCAGATAGCGCTTGCCTTTAAAAACCAGCACATATTTCCTAAAGGGAGGGATGGTGTTGTATTTTAAATACCCCCTTTCACCTCCAGTCCGGGGGTGATCTTTAGAGAACAAGGGGATGGAGATGTCAAAACTGGGTCTGAAGTTCTCTGTGCTGATGCTGGCTTTGGCCAACATGGCTTGTCCGATATCAAACCCCAAATCCTCTGTGTAATCCGGCCATGTGCCCGAATACAGGTTAAAGATCAGGTGGTTCCTCCCGTTATTCCACAGCTTCAGGTTCTGGATCTTAGTTTTGAGGTTGTGGACGTACTGAGGAGACAGCTGGTCTCGGTCCAGGGTGTCAAGGTTCAAAACAAAGAGGCAAGCCTGTCCCGGGTCAGAAGTGTAGAATCTGGAGCCCTCGATGGAGGACAAGATGTTTTGGTAGCTTTCGGAGATCTTCTCACCTTTCTGTTGAGGATAGACGTAGACTTTGAAGCCGTTCCTCCCGCACAAGGAGAAATCAAAGCAGGAGTCCATTCTGCACTTGTAAGCTCCAGAGTTGTCATCTCTTTTGTGTCTCGGAGAAGCGCGGACATTGTAGTCCTCCGTTTCGGTCTGATCCCACGGAATAAAAGCTCGTAGGAGGTCTGAGAAGTGGGGCCATTGTGGATGGGGGTCATCCCCTCGGTTTGGAGTCCTTCTGGAAGCTGGTTCCTGAAGGTAAAAGAGGAGAATGAGGCTCACACCTGCAGAGAACAGAATTAAATAGCGTTTTTTGGCCTGCATGTGTCCTTAGATCCAGATGGAGCTGGTTGCTGATGAATGCAAAGGTCTCAACTCCTGCTGGACAGCATCTTCCACAGACCTGCAGGGATTTGATGCTCTCAACTTCCACCTTGTGATTCCAATCCCACATCCAGAGCATGTGGGCGATTTAACCTGAAACCCTTTTATGGATCTACCTCTCTCCTCTCCGGTGCATGGTTCACATTAGACAGCATCTAAACTCCTGACAGATGACACTTGAACCCTGCTGGCCATCGGGACTGTTCTGGATCAATGAAAACCATCAGAAAGTACTTTCAGAGAAGAGTTCTTATAATCCAGCCTGGAGAAATCACAAACAGCAGGAGCAGTCAGAGAGATCTATAGGTGATGGATCTCATGAGGTGCGTGTGAGTCAGAAAAACCCTGTCACTAACTTCCCGAGCGGATAAATCCCCACAAATCCGTGTATTCTCACATATTTCTCTCTGATAAATCCTCCAAAGGTTGGTTGTCTTTGTTAGCGTGCAGTTGCTGTTTTGGAACCTCTCGTAAAAACATTACAAACCGGTTTTCTATTCCCTGTTACATTCGAAACGCGTTCGCGACGCCGATGATACAACGTTACATTCCAGCAGCACTTTAATCTGAAGCTTCCAGTTGCGATTGTTACATTGTAGCATTCCAATCCCCGCACGACGCCTGCTGACGTCACGCGCCTCCGTCGTACACCGCGCGCTGTGATTGGGGCGCGTCATTTCCGGGCGGGCCGACGCTACTGTAACCCATTCACGACCACAGTCGAGCGTGACGGTATTTTAAAGCAACAACAGCAAATGTATTTCTCAAAATATAGTGACAAACAGAATTATTTAGACACTTTAAAATGAATGAGCGTCATTGTATTAGATAACAGAATGTCAAAGCAAGTGGCATTTATTTTAAACAATATAGCATACGTTTCAATGAAAGGAAAAAAAGCTTTTGTACGAGGTAATAAAACAATGGAAGGGACAAACCCAGCTATTGGGTTGTTTTGACCCAGCGGTTGGGTTCAAAACAACCCAATAGCTGGGTTTGCCCCTTTTTAACCCAGCATTTTTTAGAGTGTACAGATGCCAATTTAGAATTATTTTTAAGAGTATATTCCATTAAAAGAGAAGTTAAAACAAAACTAACTGTGATGGGTCACTTTATGTGTTGGTCAGACAGACTCTTCTTGGCTGATCTGAATGAAATATAATAGTCGGTGCCATCAAATGTTTCTTTGAATTATTTGTACAGCTGCAGGGGTCTGAGAGGAGAGGGAGTTGAGACAGGGAGGTGCAAAGGAGGCATTTGAAACCACATTCCTCGGAAGTTGTGGAGCCGTGTCCGTATTCGGGTGCTCCTACGGGCCAGTGATCAAAGTGGAGGTCTTGCCTCCTCTCCTTTCTGTCCAGCATTCCTTCCATCCTCTCATTCTTTCCTTTGGAGCTAATATTGCAAGTCACATTAATATTCAGACGCGGTCCTTTGAACATGTTTGATTGGCACAGATGGAACTTTTTTCTTTAATTTTCTGTGCTGATTTTAGGTGTAAATTCTGCAGAACAGATTTAAATATGGTCAAATGCGATTGCTTAAAGTAATGACAATGACACCGGACTTGTTTTGATTTTCAGATTAAGATATATAACTTTCAATTCATCGTGCAGCTTCATAATAGAACTTTTATCTACATTTTATCTACAAGTGACATCGATCCATTGATCTTACAGGGAGATCAGGTTTTTTCAATAAAGATGTGACTATTTGATTAGATCAAATCATATGCTGCACAAATGGAACAAATCAACGACTGACTTAGATGCGAGACTTTTAGGAATTAAATTAATAGTTATTCATCAAGGATGCATTAAATTGATCAAAGGTGACAGTAAAAACATTTATACTTGCATTTATAATAACAATAGATGTAATATAGAAAAAATGTATCACTGATAATCACAACATTGATAATCATATTAAATGTTTCTTGAGCAGTAAATCAGCATATTAGAATGATTTCTGAAGGATCATGTGACACTGAGGACTGGAGTAATGATGCTAAAAATTCAGCTTTGCATCACAAAAATAAATTACATTTGACAATATATTCAAATAGAAAGCAGTTCTTTTAAACTGTAATAATATTTCACAATATTATTGATCAAATAAATGCAGTCTTAGTGAGCATATGGTACTTCTGTTAAAAACATTATAACATTTAAGCAACCCCAAACTTTTGAATGGCATTCAACCATTGAAATTCAATGCAATGACATTCAGTGTATTATGAACTATCTAGCATATTTATCAATGTTATCAATTATTTTTGAAAACTTCTAGCCTAACCCTGCAGATTTATGCATCACCTTTCATGCACAGACTGACTGTTTGGTAGAGTGAGAAGATTCTGTTTTTGTTTGTCTAGACTAGAGAAAGTAAATGTAATGGTGTATAAATAATTAAATAAAGGCCTTTGTTGAGCAGAATGCAGGCTCAAAATGAATCTCTGGAGGTCTGGAAGTTACCCTCAGAACAACACGACCAATGCAGAGTCATTTAAATTCCCCAACAGCCTCAGCAGAACCTAAAAAGCTATTATATCCAGTGGCGCCATCATCATTAAGTATCATTAGCATGCTTTTGCCACCATGGGCTGTTGACATGACATGTAGATTTTAGACTAGTCTCAGCCTCACACCCACGGACCACCACAATCCGTTTACTGACCGTCTGATGCACACTGCACACAAAAGACCCCAGAATCCCACCCTCGGGCCCTTTTACTTTAGGATGAACAGAATTTTTTTCTATGGAGGTTTATTATTGGGGAATCTAAAATAAAGGTTCCAAATCTTGAAGGTGAAAAAGGTGACAAATCTTGAAGAAACCAAATGATATCTTCTATCTTTACATATGTGAACACGAAAAAAAAATCTTGCTCAGTACACGTGTGCATTGGAATGCTTTCTCATGGTTTTCCCTCCAGGAATATTTAGCAGTTCATTGAGTTCATTTCCTTTTCTTAAAGGGGTCATATGATGCGATTTCAATTTTTGTTTTCAATGTTACAAGCTCTTGGTGCATAAAGAAGATCTGTAAAGTTGCAAAGACTAAAGCCTCAAATCCAAAGAGATATTCTTTATAAAAGTTAAGAGTCAGCCACGTCTACCTAAAACGGCTCGTTCTAACACGCCCCCACATATCTACCTCACTATTTGGGCGGTGGTATGCAACTCTTCCCACATCTTCACGCAAAGAAAGATGGCGTAACTTTTATTCTCGCTGTAGTAT